GGGGGCGGGGGCACGGCGCAGTCGCGCGCGAGCTCCGGGCGGCACGTCAGCGAGCGCGGCGCGTGCCGCACGGCGGCCGGCAGACGCTGCAACTGCGTGGCGCTCAGGAACGGCGCGAGCGCGAGCAGTTCCAGCTTCGCGACGCGCTGCGGCGCGCGCAGTGCGGCGCGCGGGCGTGCGTCAGTCCGCTGCAGAGCGCTCTGCGCCTGGCGGAAGAGCGCGAGCTGCGCGCGCTGCGCGCTGTCCGCGAGCAACGCGCGCACGCTGCCGCGCGGCGGTGCGGGCGCGGGCGCGGCATGCACGCAGAACTTGCGGCGCTTTGCGCAGCGGTCCACGGCGACAGACCGGCGAGCCGCTTTAGGCTGCCGGAAAATCGAATTAGAAAAGCGGAGAAAAACAAATTCAGTCTAGCGCCGCGGGCGTCGCGGCCGCGGGTGTCGCGGACGCGGGTGTCGCGACCTCGGCCGGCGCGGTCTGCGTCGAGGCGACTTGTGTCGAGGCGATCGCGGTTTGGTGCTGCACCCAGAAGTGCGCGCTGGCCTCGTGGCTCGACAACCGCTTTGCGGGGTCGATCTCGAGCATCAGCGCAATCAACTCCTTGCACGGCGCGGAAATCTGCTGCCAGTGGCTCTCTTCGAAGCGCAACTTGTAAAACTGCTTTTTGTTCTTCAGCAGCTCTTCGCGGTCGCATTTGGCGAGCGGGAACGGCAGCTTTCCGCAGAGCATGTAGTAGAAAATGATGCCGAGCGCCCAGATGTCCACCTTGTTCGTGTAGCCCTCGAGCGTCAGAATCTCGGGCGCCGCGTACGCGAGCGTGCCGCACGGGTGCGTGATCTTCTCGTTCGGCCCGCACAGGCACGCGAGCCCGAAGTCGGCGAGAATCAAGTCAGAGGTCGCCGGGTCCGTGCCGCTGAACAGAATGTTTTCGGGCTTGATGTCGCGGTGCGCGATCCCGCACTTGTGCAAGTACTCGAGCGTCTTCAAAATCTGGCTGACGATGCGGTGCGCCAGCGGCTCCGCGAGCGCGCTCTGCTTG